TGTTAAGTGTGTTTAGCCTCTTTGTTGAAGAGACGGCCAACAAGGTAGCGTGCAGGCTCATTCTGTCGCCTTCGCATGCCTGCTGGCAGGCATCATTCAAGGGCTGCCTTTGGACAAGGACTTGTCATGGAAGGTCTATACGCAGGCAGGTGACCCTTTACCTTTCTCTTCCGTCCACAGTGACAAGGACCATGACGCAGAGTATGGAGACTACACAGAGCCTGACTCCTTACTTTGGTTTGGGATGATTGCAGAAGGTACCAAGAATGTTGGCAAGAATATTGAGCCAGCGCATCGTGGTGTGGAGCTCTATGGGAAGTTCTGTGCCTTTGCCTTTGAGCAATATCATGTTGCGTATAGGTTCTTTTTCCGTAGGAGTCAAGGGCATCGCTACTAGGAGCATAGACTGGGGGGCTCCTGGCCTTACTACTAGGAGCAAGGACGCTACTAGGGGCTCCTGGCATCGCTACGAACGGAGCATTCTTACTACTAGCAACAAGAAGCTACTACGTCCTACCTCCGAGACAAGACGGTTCCCTGACTTTGGGTCACTCAGCTCAGGTGCATTTTACGGAGTCCTTGGCTCAGCATACTATTGCGCGGCTCGTTTCCCCGAGGACTTTGAAAAGGCCATGCTGTGCAGCTTGAATGGAGGCGGACAAAACACCATGCGCAGCAGCTTAGTTGGAGCACTGCTCGGCGCACGCGTGGGCCTCAAGAGCATTCCCAAGCGCTTCATCCAGGGTTTAGAGGACCATGAAAACATCGTTGCCTTGGCCACGCACGTGGCGCAAGATGCTTTGGATCGGGTCACGTCCTCCGATGGTTGGCGATGGCCGAAAGGTGAGGAAAAACTGCCGGCGATAGGGGTCAAGAAGCAGTCTGAGTAGAGCCAGAGTTCTTCCACCAGACCAAAGCCTCAGATGAATTTTTCGCTTAGCTCGTTGGAATCGAGCGAAGACAGGCTGGAGAGGGCTCAATGAATCGAGGATCAATACCCCGGAGACGTGGAATCATAACGCCCCAAACCTGTTTCACCCAACCTCTTTATAGACATGATCCACATAAAGATTCAACAACTTCGTAGCCGTGTCTTTACCTCCCAAACCTCCAGATCACCGTGGGAAGATCCAAGTCGGACTGCGCAGCATGCAACGGTTCCGTCGGACTGCAAAACCAGGCGGAACTTGAAGAAAAAGAACGGCCACAGATGTTGGTTGAGCGCCATGAATCGCATTTTGTTGGAAGGGTGCTTCTTGATGAGTGCTTGTATCAATCCCAGACACTTCATGTATGATATGATATATTTATTTATATATAATACCAATTGGTGTAGTTTTATTGGTCAATGTATATCTTCCAGTCCCATCAGTCGTGTCTGGGAATGTTCTCAGTCGCTCTCAGCTTCTACTTGTTTCGGGGCTCCTCACACAGGTTGCAGTTCAGGGGTGCTTCGCCGTATTCACGGGGGCAAAGAGCTGGTCACACTGACACGCTAGTTACAAGGGGGGAACCGCTATAGCGACGGGTAGGTAGAGCCAAAGACACCGTGGATTTCGTGGTGGTCTGAAGGGGTTCTTCACGAGTCATTCACGTGGACGTAGAAGGCATAGCGAGGAAAGGGGTTCTTCACAAAGAAAAGGCCAGTAAGTAGGGGGTTCTTCTAGGTTGGAGGCCATCGCTAGTAGGTTGGAGGCCATCGCTATTGAATCGCTATTATAATAAAGAAATACAGACGGAAAGAAAGAAATTATGTTTAGGAGTTTAGGGGATGACTTTTATTAGGTTGGAGGCCAACGATGTGCAGCTCTCGCCCGCCATCTGTCTCCTGCGGCTCCGTTGATGGAGAGCTTCAATCAAGTGATGGGTGTCAAGGGTAGCACGGAGGAGTCTTGAGTTCAAGTTGAGCCTAGCCATGCCTAGGATGTTCAAGGCATTTCTTCACTGGCGCCAAGCCGATGACTATAGGGCTCATCTCATGAATCTAGAACCTGAAGTTCTCAGGGCGATTTTGTGTTTGGGTCAGGCAAACAATCCACCTCCCCTGCAGTTGGTGTTTGTGCTGTGCGGGGCCAACGATCTATATATACCTCTTATCCTTTTGCATTTGTTCCTAGCCACAGGCGGCTTTCAGACCCGCTCCAGCCAATCACTGGGGAAGTTCCCTCCCTTCTCATCTTTCGACCCACTGCATGGATGGAAGTTCTCCATCCATGAGCGATGAATGCTTGCCTCTTGGCTTGAAAAACGAAGGACGTTTTAAGTCGATGTTTGGTGGAGGCAGATCGAAGTTGAATGAACAAATCAAGGACAAAACAAGTTGTTTCTTTTTGTGGTGTTTCTTATTTTTGCTTTCCGTCTGCTTTGGACTCAATTATGATGCTACCTGCGCACGCTTATTGGAGTCGGTGGGGCATAATGGTGCGTTTGGGAAGCTGTGAAACCCGGGTTGATTTGGAATTCCCGTCCTCGAGCTGTTTGAACGCTATATCTTTTGGAGTTTTAAGTGTTTCGAGCCCAGGGAATTTGTTTGGATCATTGTTCTGGTGCGAAAAGCACCGGGGTAGACTTGGGTTTGACATCCAACAGCTGTTTGGAGCTTTGGAGCTTGTTGATGTCCTTTGATTTCGTTGCTGGTTGCGTTTCGAGGCCCCAACGGCCTAGCCAAGGCGGGTTGTGCCGGGTGACTTGCGGAACCAAGATTGAACCATGGCCCTGAATGGGTAGATGCATCAGAAAGGAAAAAACACACGGCATCAAACAGTACCCTCAACTATTACATGTTGGAATGGGTGACCCTCCGTATACATATGTATACATGATAAGATGTATTAATATGTTATATATATATATTATATATTATATATAAACACACTATAGTGATACATACTTGCATCAAACTGCTCCTTCGACGCCGTCCACGGATAGGGCCGCACCTTCATTCCTGGCCGCTACTCCCTGAGTCAGACCGGTCCTGGCGGGTGTGCAGTTCACGTAAGACCACTGTCCACAAAGCAAGATGAGTCAGGTGAAGTTTCTATACGAATTATATAGTAGCAAGGACGCTATGCTTGGTGGAGGCCATCGCAAATAGGTTGGAGGCCATTGCTACTAGTAACAAAAAAAAAGCTACTAAGTCCCCTTTTCTGCAGATCCATGCATCCACCTTCTCAAAAGGTTTGGGGCAGGCTGACCATGGCTGACCAATTGGGTGGCTAACTCAAACGATGTGGATGGCTTGGTGCTTGGTGGTTTCTTCGACGGCTTCTTCCGCTCCCAGTCGTGGGCTTGGAGCCTCCCATGTTTCACATCTCGCGCGCGCGACAAGGCTCCTAGTAGCATCCTCTTGCTCCTAGTAGCTTCTTGTTACTACTAGTAAGGCACTTGTTACTAGAAGCGATGCACTTGTTCCTAGTAGCGAACATTGCTCCGTTCGTAGTAAGGCCAGGAGCCCCGTTCGTAGCATCCTTTGCTCCGTTCGTAGCGTCCTCTACCCCCCCCTCGAGTAATTATGACCTGAGTCATGTGCACATGACCGACCCACTGATTGACCGTGTCTAGTCGACCACATTTTGCGACATCACACACCTTTTGTCTCTATATCGACCTACACTGAGAGTGGAAGTCTCTGACACCCAAGACCTCTCAGATGACTTCACTCTATCTGGTCTTTGAGACCTACCCTTTTTGTTTCGACTGAACGACCTCATCGCCGACTCATCTGTCGACACAGGGCATCCTTCGCGAGCCAAAGACGCCCGCGCCCAAAGAGCAAGCGACGCCGGCGCCCACGGCCGAGGAGACGGTTCTGTCCGGTTCTGGTCGTCCTCCAAGACGGCCATCACCGGGGTGGGTGGTGGAGGGTCCTTTGGTTCATCGGGCTGTCTCTTTGGTATGTGGTTTTGAGTGGTATGTGGTTGATTGGAGCAACAACCTCCTAGTTTGTTGCTCCGCACCCAAAGGCATGAAGCTTGGAAGTTGCAGCTCTGGATGATTTGGGCCGTTCGGAGGTCCACTACGTTCTGGTTGGTCGGAGGTCCAGTTCTTAATTCTTCTTGCCATTCTTTGAGAACAAATGAGAAAAAGATAGTCAGACAGTGCTCATTTGGGAAAGCAGATCCTTGAACACAGAAAGTTCCATGTTTCCATTATTTTTCATGAGCTGACTTTTCCCAATTATGGTTTGGGCATTTGCACAGGAGTATAGCTCCTATGAAACGGAGACCGAAGAAGAAGGCCAAGCACTTAGTGAATAGAAATGTGATTGCCGCGACAGAGGTCAATCAATCAGCCATGGCACACGTGTCACAGCACAATGGCTTATTGTTTGTTGTTTTGGCATTTCCCGTTTCTCAGGCGGGGGGGAGTTGACGACCTTTTTCGTCCTTTCTCTTGCCACTCAGTATCACTCAGCCACCCGGTCGCGCTGTCAGGTGCGCAAAATCGCTTCCTCTTGCTTCTGCTTCAGCTTCACGTCATCTTGTCTCTTCTCGATGGCCTCACTCGGAAAATCAGCCCGGCAGTTGACTGGCAGGGTGGACTGTCCGATCCCTGTTGATTGGAACATGAAAAGCAACAAAGGATGAAACATGTCGACGTCTCATTCCTTCTTGTTCCTTCTCATTCCTTGGAGGTCATCGCTAATAGGTTGGAGCCCATGGCCCTTAGGTTGGAGGCCATTCCTGTTAGGTTGGAGGCCATTGCTATTAGGTTCCTTTTGCTATTAGGAGCAAAGGCCATCGCTGTTCGGTTCCTTTTGCCATTCGGATTCCTCACGGTCAAGGCCCACCACCCGCGCCACCGCCGCCTGCGCCGCCTGCTGCGCCGGCAGCTGCGCCGGCAGCTCCCGTCGCCGCACGCGCGCAGCTGCCGCCGGCGCCGGTCACGGAGCGTCGGGACATGGCCTGTGGGCCGGATGTGCCGTACCGAGAGCCAAGGTGGGCAGTGGATGGGTGGGACTCAACAGCCAGTTTTTGACTGGCTTAGCACTCGTTTAAAGCAGGTCTAACTTGTGATTGTTGGACTCAATCCAATGGATTACACAGCCAGGTCTGCTAGCAACAGGTTGATTCTCTTTCAGTGTTGGCTCTGCCACTGCTGAAACATGACGAAAGTGGTAGGTTCTTTTCTAGGTCTCTGACCGTCCACGCGGCGAACACGTCGGCGACGCCGGTGGTTTCGCGCCACGTCGCCTTCCGCGAGCCGTGAAGTGGTCGTCGACAGACTCCGCCGTGGTGGACATCCCGATGAAACTCGGGTGATCTCGGACTCTGAAAGCATGTGAAAGCTACAGTTCTAGCTGCGATCAAACACTTGCGCGAGCAAATGCAGAACCACTGCTGCAAGAATAGCAAAACAAATGCCAACACAAGACACAAAAAGAAGACTTGGAAAGCAAAAACACATTGCACCAAACGCCAAAAATAGCCCAGCTGGATTGGATTTCCAAGTCAAACAGAATATGCACGCACCCAATGCAAACACACATGCGAATCATTGCAATCCAATTCCAAATTTGTTTGACAACCCTTCTTCCACTTCCTTCCCCTCGCAAAGATTGCCCACACGCCAAGCTGAAACGCCCCAGCTCCGCCCGGGCTCAGCCGTTGAGGCCACCAGCCATGCTTGACGTCGCATGTCAGACGAAGGAGTCCTGCTTCGAGCGCTCGGTACGTCACTGGGCGTTCACAGTCGTTTCACAGAGAGAATAACCGTTCGTAGCTTCCTGTTACTACTAGTAAGGCCCTTGTTAGTTACTAGCGATGCACCTCTTACTAGTAGCAAAACAAAAACAAAAACAGTGCCTACTAGTAACAAGAAGCTACGAACAAGTGCATCGCTTCTAGTAACAAGTGCCTTACTAGTAGTAACAAGAAGCTAGAATTAAATTAGAGTTAGTAAGGATGCTACCTGGTAGCGATACCCTTTGTTCCTAGTAGCGAACATTGCTCCGTTCGTAGTAAGGCCGGTTTCGCCCCGATCGTAGCTCCAACCACCTCCCACCAGACCTCCCAGACCCACCCGGAGCGGTTTATTTGTTCCGTGGGGAGGGGGTGAGTACCGGAGGAAAGAATTTCTTCGCCGGTTCAAAGAACAGAGCAAGGGCATCGCTACGAACGGAGCAAAGGGCATCGCTACGAACGGAGCAAGGAAGCTACGAAGGGGGCCGTCCTACTAGGAGCAAGGACGCTACGAACGGAGCAAAGACCCTTGCAAAGAACAGGTCCGCGGCGTCCCATGGTGCGCGTCCGCGTCCGTGGGACTGGAAGATTGGCGAATGATGTCCATCG